GAGTATTCTATCTTCTTATCAAAACCCGATTTTTAAGACCAATGGGTCTGAGCAAATTTTCTCATGAATTTTTTCCTTGCTTCTTGATCTATTGTTTCCTTTTCGTTCAATTTTCTTGAAAGCTAAGACACCAGCTCTTTCACACTTAAAATTTTCACCCCTTCGAATTCCAACTACTTTCCTTAATTAATTCTTGTATTTTGTCGCTGCCCTTCATTATTTTTTTTAGGGTTTGTTTGTGTTGGTAGAATTAATCAGCTCTGAACGAAATCTGTTTCCATATTTTTTTGAAGAGTTGATTTTGTTAATCTTTTCTTTTTTCTTTTCTTTCTTGAGAATGGAGAAAGATCAAGATATTCAACCGGATTCAATGATGGAAGATGACCAAGATTCACGGAGAGTTGAAACGGTAGCGCCGGCGGGTGGTTCCGCTGACAAACCACTGCGGGTGAAGATCAAGTTTCCAAACATGAAAGAAAGCGCGGAGGAGGAGGATGGCCCAAAAGTGAAGGACCATTGCTGTTTAGAGTGTAAAAAGAGATTTAATTCCGGCAAGGCATTGGGAGGTCACATGAGCAGTGCTCATGTTCAGGCCAACAGAGATTTCTCTCTCAAGAAACTGAAATCGAAGAGGCGGGCGAAGCAAGTTTCGGGCTTGAGTTCTCCTTCTGACTATGGCGGAAAAATTATTTGTAAGATCTGTGGGAAGAATTTTCGAACAAACAAGTCCTTGTTTGGGCACATGAGGTGCCATCCTGACCGGGAGTGGAGGGGGATGGAGCCACCAGTTGAGGCGGCCATGAATTTTTTGGAGCCGGAATTTGAGGTCGTGAATGGGGTTCCTTCACGTGCTTGTGAAGGTGATCAGATTGATTCAGGTCCTGTGGTGGCTTCTCCACCGGTGAATTTGAATAAATCTGTGAAGTGGCAGGTGACCGGTAAGCGTGGCCGGGCTCCAACTAAGCCACTCATTGATTCACCTCCTCTTCGGAGTTCTGAGGAAATTCTAGCTGTTCAACAGCTTATAAGGCTTGTCAATGGGGATTCAGTGAAACCTATTGAAGATCAGGATTCCAAGCTTAATGAAAGTGAAGCTACTAGCAGCAATTGTTGGACTTCTGAGAATGAAACTGACGATGTTAATCAGGATTTTTATTTGAATAAGAACAAAGAGAAGGTGTTTCCAGTTGGAGATGAAAGGGATTCTCCTGTTAAAAAGCTGAAAACTTGGGAAAGAGCTGATGAAAACCCTGGTGGTGCACAAGTCAAGAGAATCCTTTACAATGGCAAAGGAGAGGGAAAATTGAATCCAGGATCGGATACTGAAAATTTAATAAGTTCAGATTATTCATTAGACGAGTTTGATGATCCTTACAAATCTGGTACTAATGGCTCTATGATGATCATTAAAAAAACTAAAGTGAAGAAATCAGTGGATCCAGAGTCGCAAACAAGTTTCAGCCCTACAGGACCGGTGTCTGAATCTGTTCCTCTGGCCGTGACACCTGATAAATACATATGCAACACTTGTAGAAAGAGTTTTTCTACACCTCAAGCACTAGGTGGGCACAGATCAAGCCACAAAAAGTTCAAGGTTAAGGTTTACAACACCATTGATGATCAGTCTTCAAATGAAGTTTCTTATGCCAATTATAGGCCAAAAGCCAATGCCATCAAACAATTGGAAGTAAACAATGTAAGTAGAAAGGCAGCGTTTAGCTTAAAAGCAGTTTACAATACTTATGATGTATGATTTGCAATAATAATTTCTCTTCCTGTCAGGTTATTGGAGTTCAGAATCAATGCCATAGCACTGGTGAGTGCAATCATGCTGATCGAGTTACCTCAACAGAAGAAACGAAAAAAAAGCACAAAGTTCTCCTCAAGTTCAACCTCAATGAGATTCCTAGCCAGGATGGTGAAGATGTGATCGAATCTGGTGATACAGCTAGTTAGATGTCAATTTGATCATATTATTGAATTTTTAGGCCTTCAGTATCCAGTATTCTGTCATAGTCTATTTACTTTCTCCTTGCACAATTTGAAGTGGTATTAAGTCAATGTTAAGCATGTTATGCAAGTTTGCTTACTGATTTTTGTGAATGGAACAGTTTCTTAGTCATTTTTTTGCTATCATATTTGGTGAATTAGTCGAAGAAGCATGCTTAATACTACTTGCTTTACTCAAAGAACAACATTTCAGCCAAATTATTTGGCATTATCTGTTACCTTTTGGGATGCTACGCCTCTTTTTATAGACTCGGGGGCTGATCCAAAAAATGCACTTTAAAAGGAATTGAGGGCTATGATCATTTACAGATTGTTAGCTGTTATAATATTAGAAGATATGAGATTGGAGATCATTTTCAAGAAGTGTATAAATTGGCATGCAAAACACAAATTCTTGATATTCTCTCAGTTGATGATGAGTATCCTATAGCCATCAGAACTTCCGTCAACATACTTATTCTGAGTTCTAGTGAGAGGACATATTCTTTGAATTTTCTAATAAAACGATTTCTATCTTCAGAAGAAGTCACCAAACTTTCATACTAATGTATTGTTTCATCAAGATTAGATTCATATCTGGATAGTGTTTTCTTGTACTTGAATGGAAGAAATCGAGACAGATTTATGAATTCCTCTGAAGGTTATGATGAAAACCCCGTAGAGAAATTTTAAGCGTGTTATATCCTTGTTGCTAGCTAGCTTTTTGCAACTATGTATGATTCTTCGTACGAACTTTTCAAACACTAACAGATTTTATACTATATATAGATTGCTCACAATTTGAAAGAATTGAAGAACGCAAATGTATAAGAAAATATAATGATTAATACTTGATATAGCTCACATGTTGTCTCGTGTATATCTCTATACAAAAGAGCGGATAAGTTATTATTACTAAAATGTATTTAAATTCGCGTCTTTGCATGAAATATACAAATTAAATTAGATCTGAATTTCCATTATACTTACCAATTACAATAATTGCAGTTTGAAAATTTGATAACACATGCTCATAATCAATCTATGCAAATTACTAATTAGTCCAATTAAAGAAGGAAATATAAGGAATGAAATTGATATAGAACGGAATTGAAAGAGGGGGGGAAGTCGTGGCTATCTTACTTTAATAAATTGAATTGGGAAAGATTGGAAATGATTCATATTACTTTATTAAAAATTTGGAACAGAGAGGGGAAATTGGCTACTAACAATAACATATAGGGACAGGAGTATATATGTGCAGCATATGTAAATAAGTTAATAGAGATTGATTGTAATTAAAGTGAAATTGGTGTCTTTCATTTATTATTAATTTGAAAATGGGCGGAATTGAGCTTTGACTTGAATAATTCTATCGCTATATTAGGAGCCGACACGTATATCGAGAGAGTTTATCAGTCGAGTTAATTTCCACGTACATGGCCTTGTCAAATGAAAAGTTAAACATTTTAAGAAAAAATGAGAAATTTATTACATTATTTTACGTGAAACTTTTGCGAATTATTTGTTAAGGTACATGATTATTACAAAACGTTTATTACATAATAAGGGGAGACATATATTTTACATTACATTATCAGTAGAAGATCTTTGGGAACCATCTCCGTGCCCGAATGGGGCCTTGTACCTTTCGTGGGGTTGCTTTGCCCATTGAAGCAGTTTACATATTATAGATTACACTATATTTAGAGGTTACAATTTTTATGAGATTGTTCAGCATATTATGATATAAGGATACAATAGATTTTTGAGTATAAAATTTAGCTGATGATTATGAAATTATATTTTTTTACTCGAAATTAATGTTATATAAATGATCAGTCATATTTTTCAACATTATTAAATTGCTTTTAAGTGAATGTCTCACGATTTTTACTATCATTATTATGAAATTTTATATTGTGACAAATGATATGAACTCGAATTTCAATAAATATATGTATAAATGATAAAGTATAAATATTTTTTTTAAATTCTCTACTGATTGAGCTTATTAATTCATATATTTTTCAATAATTTTTCTCATCATGTAGCGATTGGATTTTTTTTATTGTATTATTTTTTTTATTTTTTTTTTGGGGCATCTGTAGGAGATTGAGCCTGTTGATTTTGATGTTAGAATCACATGACAAAGCTAGTTTGTATTATTTCATAGAACACATTTTCATTATTTTCGGGTTACATGTTCTTTTTTTATATTAATTTGTATCACGAAGAATATATATATATATATATATATATATATATATATAGAGAAATAAATTAATGACAATTTTATCAAAATTTATAAAAAAAAAAATAACCAATAATGACACCATTATATACATTTTTAAGGATTAATGATATTCATGATCACCAAAATTTACACTTAGCCTTTGTTTGGTTTTAATTTCTTTTACTAACTAATATAAATGAGTTATGAATAAGTGATTAGTAATTGTGAATTCTATGAATTGTATAATTAAAATTAATGTTTGATTTTTAACATGAACTTTTTAACAAAAGAAAAAAAATAAAAAATAAAACAATAATAATAATAATAATAATAATAATAATAATAATAATAATAATAATAATAATAAAAACAAAAAAAGGCTTAATGTGACTTATATCACTTAACTTTTAATCAGTTTCATTTATCTTATCGAATTTTAAATCTCATTTTAGGCACCAACCATGTTACTCAATGGTCCAACTTTTAACAAAAATCATACATGTTGTTTGTTTACGATCATATAATTCTTATCGTGTCATATATATTACCTCGATTTGTGTTATTTTCCAACAGGTTGAACTCTGATGAACAAATTAAATTGTGTTGTGAAACTTAATATCATTCGTGTATCATGAGAGCCTTGAGAGGGATGGTGGAGGCAATTGGCCCCTAACTTTTGAAAATTTGCATCTGTTTTCTTACAAAATTAATTATGATTTTGAAAAAAATAATAATAATATAACGTCTTCAAATATGTTGGTCTACATGCATATCCTTTCACCGGGTTGTCCACTAGAAAAGTAAATTTTGACAAAGGAGTGGAAATTGTTGATTATTATTGAGTAAATGATTAAGACCTTTTTGCTTGATTTGGCAATGTAATTCCGTGCCATAAAAAATTAATTAATAATTGCATACCTTAAAAAATATACACCGTGTCCTTTTTAATTAAAAAGAATGATATAATTTGTGCTTTGTGATCTCTATAAAAAAAAAACAATAATAAATTATTGTAACATCAAGTGATAATATAAACAGTGAAAACTACATGATGCTTAAGCAGCGTGAAAAATGAAAAAAATAAAATAAAATGTACAGGTGTAGTCGTGTATACAGTTCATGCAATACCTACAAGGATACGAAATCATTGACAATTAATAGATTTAGTAAATTGAGAGTCTCGTTAATAAACTACAATTCAAGTTTACTAGTTATGTATATAATTTGAATTATGTAAAACAAAAGGGAGATTTTGATTTGATTTTTGCTAAATTAATCTAAAAAATAAATAAGACTTTGATTTTTATCAAATTGTGGATGACTGTATTGAATTTTGATTATGTCTACTGTTTTCTATTTTCTTGTTGAGGTTCTAAGGATTTGATATGGATGTCACTTACCCTAGAATAAGTAGGTTCGTAATAGAATATGATAGGAATTTACAGTGAGTTAGTTCGATGATACAATCCGCCATGTGGCATTAACGTTGTTTTAGAAATCATTTTAGGGATGAAAAAAAAATGTTTTCACGTTTTAGCAGCTAGTCCACATATGGCTACAATGACTCTAGTGTACCATGATTTAATTGTATTGAAGATTTTTAATTCTTACTTATTGTCATACTTATATTTTTGACTTATCTTTCATTGCATTCTTATCTCAATCCTTCATTAATTAGCACATCTTGCCTTTTGTAACAATTTTAGTCCAAAAAATATGTTAGAGGATATAAAAAGAATTATTTGTCCCGAGCATTTTCAAATTAGCAAAAAAAAAAAATGATAAAATACGAAAATGTGAATGATAATTTGCCCCTTATTTAAAAGCATGTGCTAATTAATAAAATCCAGACGGTAAGCATGCAATAAAAAAATTTAGGATATAAGTATGACAATAATCAAAATTAGAGACTTTTAATATAATTAAAATGTGGTGCATTTTTTGAAAAATTACCTCTCCACAAAATGTTATCACATGTTTTAGCGATTAGTTCACGTGCATGAGATCGTTACACGTGGCGAACGTGTAAAAGCCACTATAGATTTTCTATTAAAAGTTTGACGGTTGAGTAACATGTTTCTATAAATTAAACGAGTTACAAAGTTTAGATGAAATGAATGAAACGATTCAACATTCATTGATAATACTATTGGAAGTTGTTTATTTTATAAACATAAATGGTCTAATCATTTTTTTAATTACATATTTCATTAAATTCATAAGTATCATTATCGTTCATTTTATTTATTTATAATTTAAATCGATTATAATCACCACCAAAACTGCACCATTTATAAGGTTCGCTGATATGTTTGCAGACATTTCAAACCAAGATATTTTTCTTAAACTTTTGAAAGTTTGGCACTGTTACAGTCAGATTTATGTAATCCAAAACAATTTATTGCTAATAACCATTCAACAGGTCTTCCTGTACAACAATTATCCTTATACATTACGCCTATATATACAGTAAATATATAGAGGAAGAAAGAAGATTTTACATACAAGGTTTATCAAAATCTGAATTTTTCAAGACTGGATTGCTTCTAGTTCTATTGTCAATTTCTGTAAGCTAAGACACCAGCTCTCCTTCTGAATCTTAAAATTTTCATCACTTCGAATTTTGCAACCACTTACTTAATTCTTGTATTTTATCACTGCCATTCTGTATTCTTTCTTTAGGGTTTGTTGCTGTTGGTACAATTAATCTGCTATATATAAAATCTGTTTCAAGATTTATTCAGATCTATTTTTGAGTAATCTTTTTTTTTTTTTTTTTTCCTTCCTTGAGAATGGAGAAAGATCAAGAAAATCAGCCGGATTCAATGATGGAGTATGACCAAGATTCACCTGGAGCTGAAAAGGTGGCGCCGATGGATGTTTTTGCCGACAAACCACTGCAGGAGAAGAACAAGTTTCCAAACATGAAAAAAAGCACCGAGGAGGAGGATATGAAGGACGGATCAAAAGTGAAGGATCATTGCTGTGTGGAGTGCAAAAAAAGATTTAGCTCCGGCAAGGCATTGGGAGGCCACATAAGCATGGCTCATGTTCAGGCCAACAGAGATTTCTCTCTCACGAGGCGGAAATCGAAGAAGAAGCGGCTGAAGAAATTTGTGGGCTCAAGTTCCCCTTCTGACTATGGGGGAAAAAATATTTGTAAGATCTGTTGGAAGGATTTTCCAACAGATAGGTCCTTATTTGGGCACATGAAATGCCATCCTAACAGGGCATGGAGGGGGATGGAGCCACCAGCTGAGGATGCCATGAATTTTTCGGAGCCAGAATTTGAGGCCATGAATAGGGTTCCTCCACATGTTCTTGATGGTGATCAGATTGATTCAGGTCCTGTGGTGGCTTCTTCAGCGGCGGGTTTGAATGAATCTGTGAAGTGGCAGGTGACAGGTCAGCGCGGCCGGGCACCAACTAAGACAGTCATTGATTCACTGCCTCTTCCGAGTTCAGAAGAAATTCTAGCAGTTCAACAGCTCGTAAGGCTTCTCGATGGAGATTCCAGAAAACCTAGTGAAGATCTGGATTCCACTAGCAACTATTCTTGGATTTCTGAGGATGAAACTGATGATGTTAATCCGGATTTTCAATTGAATAAGAACAAAGAGAAGGTGTTTCCAGTCGGAGACGAAAGGGATTCACCTGTTAAAAAGCCGAAAATTTGGGAAAGAGCTGATGAAACCCCAGGTGGTGCACAAGTCGGGAGAATCCTTTACAACGTCAAAGGGAAGGGAAAACTGGATCATGGATTTGATAATGAATTTAGTACTAATTGCTCTACGATGATCAAGGAAAAGACTGCAGAAGAGAAAAAATCAGTGCGTCCAGAATTACAACCGAATTTCAGCCATATTGTACCGGCGGCCAAATCTGTCCCTCCGGCAGCAACGGCTGACAAATACATTTTCAGCACTTATAGAGAGAGTTTTTCAACACCTATAGGACTGGGAGGGCAAAGATCAAGCGACAAAGAAATCAAAGTGGGAATTTACAACCCCAGTGATGATCAGTCTTCAAATGAAGCTTCTTATGCTAAAGATGAGCCAAAAATCAATGCCACCAAACAATTGGAAGTAAACAAAGTAAGTAAAATAGCAGCTTTTAGCTTAATAGCAATTTATAATACTTATGATGGTATGATTTTGCATCAATAATTTCCCTTCTTGTCAGGCTCTTGGAATTCAGAACCAATGCCATTGCACTGGTGAGTGCAATCATCCTGATCATATTACCTCTACAGAAGAAGCAAAAAAGAAGCAAAAAGTTCGCAGGTCCGCCCTTAATGAGATGCCTAACCAGGATGGTAAAGATGGGAAGGAGTCTGGTAATGCAGTTAGCTAGATGCCCAGTTTAATTTTAAGCCTTAAATATCAAGTATTCTGTCACAGACTATTTATTTTCTGTTGTTTTTCTGCTAGCACAATTTTAAGAAATATTATGTTATTGTTGAGAATGTTATGCAAGCCTGCTTACTGGTTTATGTGAATGGAACCGTATCTTAGTCATTTGTTTCCTATCTTATTTGATAGTCGAAGAAGCATGCTCAATGCTACTTATTCTATTTAGTAGTTTGACGAAGAACAATATTTCTTCCAAATTATTTCGCATTACTTGTGGGTGTACATATATATATTTCTGTCTGGGAGATGATTTACAACACTTAATGGACATACTCTTGATAGTTGAAGGTTTGCCATGAAACACCAAGAATGAGAGAAATTTTAAGCACACAATACTCTTGTTACTAGCTTGCTTTTGGCACTAGGCCTGTTCCTTCAATTTACAAACCTTTCGAAACCCTAATACGTTTTGTACAATAGATTGGACACAATTGAGACAACTTAAAGAACACGTGTGTCCAACAAGAATTAATGATTCAAACTTGATCTGTGTTATCATTTTGTCCGTATATTATGTCGATACACGAGAGCATTAAAGTCATTACTACTTATAAATGCATTTAAATTACACGTGTATTGTAATGAAATACAAACATCTTATCTGAATTTGTACTACACTCAAAAATTAAAGAATTTGAGTTCGAAATTTTTTTAAACTACATGCTCGCTTAATCCATCAATACAAAATTGATTCGTAAAAATTTAAATTAATATAACCGTTTGTATTATGTGTCTTTTAGTTAAATATTTAACATTACATTCAGAGTTTGCACTAAACATACAGATTAAAAGAATTTGAATTTGAAAATTTTATAATACATGCCTACATGTACTATTTTAAATAAATTTCGAATTTATAGAATGTCTTGAAATTCATCTCACTCATAATTTGAAATTTACTGAAAAATATCAATACATTTCGTAAGATCCCAATACACAACCTAACAACTTATAATCTACGCATTCAATGAGTACTACAACTTATAAATATTTTGAACATTTCAAATTTCTCCAGTCATGCACTAAATACAAAGTATTGACCTTCCTCTAATTATACTCAAAATTTGAATTATAATTCAATTTTCAGGGCCCTCTTCAGAGTTTCAGTATACTGATCATAAGCATTTTTCAAAGTATATATTGATTTTGAGCGTTTATGGGCCGATTGGTTTTGAGTGGTTTTAGTAGCAAATAAAATTAAATGTATGTACCTCAGTAAAAATTTTAATTTATAGTTTCTTGTACAAATTTTTTTTTCTCATAAGTGATATTTTACTTATAAATAATTTTTTACATAAAATTTAATATTTTAACTTATAAAAATTGAATAAAATTAAATATAATTAAATATTTACTTACAATTTTAAATTAATATTTTTTACTTTTAAATAAATTTTACAATTATATGATAATTTTATACTTTTAAATAATTTTAAGTGAACTTTTTTACATATAACCTCTTTATATTTTACAAGAGAATTTTTATCTTGATAGTAGTATTTTTATTTTATAAACAATTTTTTTTTTTTACATAAAAGCAATTTTTTAACTTAAAGTAATTTTTAAATTATTATATAAGTTCTCTTATCTTATAAGTAATATTTTACATATAATGTAACTTTTTGCTTATAAATAATTTTTTAGTTAATATAATTTTATTTACAAGTTAGTTTTGAAGAAATATATTGGATGGAAATAATTATTTTATAAAAAGTAAAATAAGAAAAGAATATGAGAAAAATTAAAAATTCATCAATTTGGTGGGTTGAGAGAATCGGTCTAAATTATTCTACACCAATTTTGTGTCCAAAATAATTAGCAAGCACCGATTTTTCTAACTTCTAATAAAGGGTGCCATCCAAAACCAGTGAAAATAAGAAGACCTTAAAGTTCTCAAGCTCAACCTCAATGAACTGCCTAAATAGGATGGTGAAGATGGATTGGAGCCTGGTAACACAGCTAGCTAGATATGTTCATTTGATCACATTAGTGAACTTTCTAGGACTTCAATATCAAGAATTCTGCAGTCTATTTGTTTTCCTGCACATTTTTAAGAAATATTACGCTCTTGCTGAGCATGTCATGCATGTATGCTTACCCATTTATGTAAATAAAACAGTTTCTTAGACATTTTTCACTATCTTATTTGGTGAATTAGTCGAAGAACCATGCTTGATGGAACAGTTTCTTACCCATTCACGAGATACATTGTGAAAGATCAAAGCCCTCAACCCCCTTTAAGTGCATTTATCGGATGTCTATAGAAAGAGGCGCAGGCGTCACAAAAGGTTCCAGATAGGAACGTGCAAAGCTTCCTAGGTGGGGGCAAGTCTAGCCAGCTCACGGCTCACACATTTTTTCCTTTTTTTCCTTCTGTTAAAAATTGGATTTTTTTTTTTTTTCTTTTTCTGGCTTCCCAGCTCCCAGATAGTCCAGCCCGTTCAAAGGTCCCTAAGTTGAGTCGAGCCTGGCCAGCTCGCGGCTTGCACATTTTTTTATTTGGATAATGTTGGGTGTACGGAGGTTCTGTTTCACAGAATCCCTACACTCGCAATAATGGGTCCCAAGCGGACCCACTTGTATAAAAAACTACAAAAAACCCTCACCCACCCTGATGTTGTAAGTGTTCGGTACGAGTTCTGCAAACTCGTTTTTGTACGTGACACATAACCCTTTTTATTTTTCATTAAAAATTCAACTTATTTATTTATTTTTGTCTTCCTGGCTTTGAGACTGCTCATCGGTGCTAGCCCACCAGTAGCTCGCATGGAAAAACAAGCTCGACTCACTCCATGACTCGTCTATGGGACTCGTCGAGCCAACTTGACTCGTGCATAAGGGAGAGTCAACAAGCTGCTGGTACACTCAATAACCCTAGATAGCACTTAACTTTGAGTTGTTTAATTTATCTTATCAAACTTCAAATCTCATTTTTATTTACACCAGTGTGTCAAACATCCTACTTATACAAAAAAAACATGCATGACGTTAATGTTTCATTAGTTCGATGATGTAAACCATCACACGAACGTTAACTTTAGCAAAATCATTTCAGCAGTTCAACGATGAAAAGATGCTTTAACTAGTCCAAAAAATGTTCACACGGTTTTGTAATTAATCCACCTGAATGTAAAATATTACTCTGAGGCAAGCTAAACGGTTGAATAACATGCTTGTATAACTAAAATAAACCTTTGGTAATAAAAGTTCAATAGTCAAAAGTATCACTTACTCTCTGACCCAAGTAACATTAAACACGTTGAATTTCATGCGAATCAGCAATAAATTCTCCCAAGTAATTGACGGCCGAATAGTACCATAAGGGAATAGCAAAAGAGCTATGCTACACTTACAAAGGTGGGTTACGAAATTGATTAACAAAATAATATCCACACTAATCATTTCAAAAGTGGATTTTTAAATCATTTCAAATCAATGGCCTGAATTTTGCCAACACACTTTGTAATCCAACTTTTGTAACTCAATTTTGTACAAGTAACTTTATTTATAGCAAAAAGATCATTGGGGAGGGAAATATAACGAGTCATAAAAATCAATAAGAAAATATAACGATTCAAAATTCACATACAACGTTTATCAAAATCTGAATTTTTCAAGACTGGATTGCTTCTAATTCTATTGTCAATTTCTGTAAGCTAAGACACCGGCTCTCCTTCTGAATCTTAAAATTTTCATCACTTTGAATTTTGCAACCACTTACTTAATTCTTGTATTTTCTCACTGCCCTTCTGTATTCTTTCTTTAGGGTTTGTTGCTGTTGGTACAATTAATCTGCTATATATAAAATCTGTTTCAAGATTTATTCAGATCTATTTTTGAGTAATCTTTTCTTTTCTTTTTTTTCTTTTTTTTTTTTCCTTCCTTTAGAATGGAGAAAGATCAAGAAAATCAGCCGGATTCAATGATGGAGTACGACCAAGATTCACCTGGAGCTGAAAAGGTGGCGCCGCTGGGTGTTTCTGCCGATAAACCACTGCAGGGGAAGAGCAAGTTTCCAAACATGAAAAAAAGCACCGAGGAGGAGGATATGAAGGACGGCTCAAAAGTGAAGGATCATTGCTGTGTGGAGTGCAAAAAAAGATTTAGCTCCGGCAAGGCATTGGGAGGCCACATAAGCATGGCTCATGTTCAGGCCAATAGAGATTTCTCTCTCTCGAGGCTGAAATCGAAGAAGAAGCGGCTGAAGAAATTTGTGAGCTCAAGTTCCCCTTCTGACTACGGGGGAAAAAATATTTGTAAGATCTGTTGGAAGGATTTTCCAACCGATAGGTCCTTATTTGGGCACATGAAGTGCCATCCTAACAGGACCTGCAGGATGGAGCCACCAGCTGAGGATGTCATGAATTTTTCGGAGCCAGAATTTGAGGCCATGAATAGGGTTCCTCCACATGTTCTTGATGGTGATCAGATTGATTCAGGTCCTGTGGTGGCTTCTTCAGCGGCAGGTTTGAATGAATCTGTGAAGTGGCAGGTGACAGGTCAGCGCGGTCGGGCACCAACTAAGACAGTCATTGATTCACTGCCTCTTCCGAGTTCAGAAGAAATTCTAGCAGTTCAACAGCTTGTAAGGCTTCTCGATGGAGATTCCAGAAAACCTAGTGAAGATCTGGATTCCACTAGCAACTATTCTTGGATGTCTGAGGATGAAACTGATGATCTTAATCAGGATTTTCAATTGAATAAGAACAAAGAGAAGGTGTTTCCAGTTGGAGACGAAAGGGATTCCCCTGTTAAAAAGCTGAAAATTTGGGAAAGAGCTGATGAAAACCCAGGTGGTGCACAAGTCGGGAGAATCCCTTACAATGTCAAAGGGAAGGGAAAACTGGATCATGGATTTGATAATGAATTTAGTACTAATTGCTCTACGATGACCAAGGAAAGCACTAGAGCAGAGAAAAAATCAGTGCGTCCAGAAATACAACAGAATTTCAGCCCTATTGTACCGGCGGCCACATCTACAGAAGAAGCAAAAAAGGAGTATAAAGTTCGCAGGTCCGCCCTCAATGAGATGCCTAACCAGGATGGTAAAGATGGGAAGGAGTATGGTAATGCAGCTAGCTAGACGCCCAATTTAATTTTAA